ATTACATGGATGAAGCCTTCAGAGGATTTCAGACGGTTAAGCAGTGACGATACCTGTTGAAAGTGCTTCGATTTGGGGTGCATCGGGCATCGGCTCCAGATTTGTCGCTTCACGATCTCATTTACACGATCCTTTGCGGTAGGAGAAATTGCCCAGCCTGCTAACTTGGAGGAGTGAGGCTGAGAGTCCAAACGCCTTGCCGAGGAGAAAGCCGCCATCATTTGGACGTCTGCGGGATTCTGGAATTGGCAAGAAGCAGATCAGACGTGGCCCGGCTGTAGGCCAGAGGTTGATCAACGCACGCTCCGATAGTTACCGTTGGCGCATGAGTCTCCACGTCGTACCTGAGGTCCTTGCTGAACAAGCTGGAAGTTGTAAGACCCCAAGGCTGCCTGTAAACCTCTGACCTTGATCTCTCGAACTCCTAAAATCCACATCCGAAACCCTCAAAATCTTCGGCCGTGACCCCGAGGTTCCCTCTGACAATAACACAAAACAATATTCGCAGAGTCTCCAACAGTCGCCTAGGAAGCCGCTTCTACGTGGGGGGAAGAGCGAAAAGGCTCGGGCCTGCAGAAAATCAGCCTTTGCAGAAGATGTCTTCCAAGAACTGCCGGAAATCACCTTGCTTGTTTGTTATGCTGTCCAGGAATTGCTAGTTTTGGTCATCATCAGGTCCGCGTTTTGAAGCATCCGATTGTGCTTCGACACCGGCCAGGTGATTCACATTTCAAAGTTTCATACTGTCGTATCACATAGCGCCATCACCTATCAAGCCTCATCAAAGCTGATTCCCATTGATATGAGGACAACAGCATACGAGGATAGGTGACAGCTGTTTTTTCCCCCTTTTGCTGGCGCAGCCCTGTACATCCCACTAATGTCATTGAAGACATAGAGGCGATCAGAGCCGTACTTCAGCCCTGCAAGAGTTTTGTCGGTCTTCGCAACTGAACTCCCAGACGAGGAATATCTACTATTTGGGGGGGACCCTAAACGCTAACTAAACCCTAAACCCGGGGGTTTGTCATATTAGGGGCAGTGGGTTGAGTCCACAATCTTGGCCTCCTTTCAGGCGCTTCAGCCTCTCTCCCTCAGGAAGCTCCCTGCAGCTGCACCTCGGCGGAACTCGGAGAACTGGCCTTCATTGTTTGGCAGCTCTTCAAGGGTCTGCGGATGCTTCTTCTGTGTGTGTATGCAAGTTGGAGCCTCCTAATCCCTAAACCCTAAACTCAAATTAATTCAGGACATGAGCCTCCTTGAATTTCATGATGGCTGTGGCTTCCAGGTTTGGATGGTGCAGTTCATGCAGTGGTTCGAGATCCCGTTTCAACCTTTCTGAGATTCTTGAACGCGATGGACTGTTGGACTTGATCGCTTTCTGCCACCTCCATAATCTATAGGTGCTATGAGCCATGAGCCCCTCTGCGAAGTCAACAGAGACATTCTGAGGATGAGGCACTCCTTTGCCAGGGCCACCACCACATGGGGGCATGAAAGCCTTCACAATGAGCAAGAAGGTACCAGCGCCCGGTGGCTTCACTCACCAAGCTCGCTTGAAGTCCAGCACGAGAGTCACCCCGAACTGGTAGGTAGGCTCCCCTGCATGACAGCCCCTCCTGCTGAGCCTCTGCCGCAACCTCCGACCACTACAAGCTGCTACTGGCTGTTGTTGGTCCTGCCCACAACCAACAACATTCTCGTGATGTTGCAAGTGCTCCGAGCATGACAGGGTTTCTTTACATTCACGACCCCAATATAAGCCGGTATACGTCTAGTGTTAGTGTTCAGCAGGATTGCAATCAAGCAAGTCATTATCTGAGGCTATGGCTAGCAAGCTGGTGACGGAGGAGTGGAAGCGGCCGGGTGACACGGAGCTGAACTTCAGCGGTGGCTGGGAAGCCCAAAAAGCACAAATCAAGTGCCACAGCAAATTAAGGAGGAGTTGAGCCTTGCCCTTGGCATTGCGCCAGGTTCTAAGGACTCTGCCATTTTGGGACTACATGCTGTGTGTTGGTATGAGCTGGGAATCGATGGGGCAGACAGGACCTCAAATGCTTCCAGCTCTGCCCTCTCCCGGCCCGCATTAAAATATACTCCCTCCAGCTTCAGAAGCTAGGCCCTGTCCTCGTATCAGCCATCGAATACTGATCTAAGCTCTCAAACTTGATTTCTCTAGCTGAGCCATGATGAGAATGGGGAGCTTTCGGAGAGTAGGAGTTACAGAGACTAGCATGGGCCGAAATATCAATCCAAAGGCTTGTCATCAATCTCATCTCATTAGCCAACTTAGACACCGCCACCCCCGACCCCGAGATTTTGAAACATCGCTGTAGTCTTTTGGGTAATGCGCAGATTGTTCATGGAGGTGCCTTTGAATGCGCAGCTTTTTGAAATCTTGTCGGTCTTGAACAAAATCTCGCTGCTTGAAGAGATATGATAAGAAATAGTTGAAATAGACTATTAAACTTTTTTCGGTGCTTACCAAAAACTTTTCAGTATTCAAAAAAGGTTCGTTCAAACACTTTTCCTGGCTCGATCAAAGGGGTCGAGAACTGTTTACAAACCCTCTTTAGGCTGCTTTTGCCGGGGGTGGGGTCTCCATGTTCACTGCTAATGAAGGGAGCTACGCAGAGCTGTAGCCCGTGCATAACGTATCAGCTGCCCAAATACCAAACCTCGGGCGTGTACAGGCTTGCCTGCAGAGCGGAAGGGCTCAAAGTCGAGCGCTGCGCGCCTGCAAAGCAGGCATGCGCACAGTGCATGTGACATGCGTTGCTTGAAAGAAATGGGGACCGACGAGCCTCACAAGTTGTAAGAAGGACTGGTAATTAGTCACCGGGCTGGCAACTGAGCATTTCAACATCTGCCACTTGCATTTTTCCCCTGGTTTAGCTTTTTGCTTGGTCGGTCGGATGCAACCTCATACCAACGCTCTTATCTTGCCTTTGGGAATCTTGTACGATTTCATGTGCGGCTTGGGTGTTGAGCAGAAGTTAATTCAATCACAGTTTCAGACTCTTTCATGTTGGCCCCGGCGGGCTCAGATTACTAGGCCCTAAGCGGAGGCAGCAAGTCTACTCATCACACGAAGTAGAGACTCTTCTCAAAGCCTTTGCACTTGGAGCGCGCACTCAGGACCTGATCCCCGATGCAATGATTAGCTGTTAGACATCACAGAAACCCTGCGATGTATGGTTCTGCGGCCACCTGGTGCTCAAGCAAGCCATCTGGAAGGATGGCAAGTTGAAAACGGGGTCTACCAAATGCATAAGTTTTGTCTCCATGCAGTGCTGCTTGCCTCAATGATGGGGCTGGGGAGTGTGCGCAACGCTTATGCGCACATTTATCACCTCCTTTCTCTGGGCCCCAGGCGTAACGCCCCTCAAGCCCAAGCCATGCCCACCTGGCTAGTCTTCAGTCATCGGAATTGTAGGTTAGGAGATCAGCAGCGTCCAGGGCCCCAAACAAAGCAATTCCTTGATGTCGACGTGGCCCAGGCGTACATGGGTGCTGCTGTCGCTTGTAGCAAGGGCTTTGCGACCACAGGGCGACGGCCCGGAGCTCACCTTTTTTTTCGAATTTCGCCGACCTGCACTTCAACCCCAGAGATGTTCAGTTCATTCGGTCACTGCTGCTTTAGCCCGGTGCGCGCCAGAAGTTTTGGGTTGAATTTACTGCTCTTGAGGGCTTTGATCTGGGAAGCTGAGTTAAATGGTGAGGAGCACGCACTTGCTACTCGTGTGGGTTGGCTTGCAGGCTTCAAGGAAAGCAGGCATGCATTAGACGCAACAGCTTGAGGTGTATACACTCTAAGCGTCTCGTCTGCGCGGGTTGTAATTACTCAGTCGTGAGTGGATGGCAGCTTCAAGTGGTAGATAACAACGTGAGTCAAGCCCATGCGCCGTCATTGACTAACAGGCATGTGCAAAGTTGACTTCCTGGAGTGTGCCAATGCCTTTCACGACAGTAACTCTGAACAGCAACCATCAGACCATCCAATCCTGACAGAGACCACCTGTCCAATGCAACCTTGCTTCCTTCTCGTGTCTCAGGGCCGAGCATTGACACTGATCGGGACCGCGTGCTCTACTTCTCACCAGTGGGCCCGAGCTTCAGGCACGTGAAGTGGACTTCACGTCCCAGCACCTCCTCGCGTCATCTTCTTACTCAACCTTCAACTGCCACCCCTTGCTCAGGCTTAGGGTTTTCAATCGGTGTTTGCTGACCAGTGGACTATCAGAGTAAATCTAAGCCTCTGTTCTGACACATAACATGCAGCTATGCAATCTGCAACGTGAGGGAAAGGGCAACCTGCAGAATTTACAGAACATCCATTTGGCGTGTGTTGCCACAAGTAGCTGCTTGTGACGGGTCTTGTCTTCATGGAAGCACGATGCAGGGGTCAGACTGCGGGATTTAGAGCCCATGGCTTGGTTACTTGGCAGCCTCGATTTCAAGCTGAAGCTTCAAAGCGGGAGTGGAATGCATCCTGTCGCAGCGATCTTGCACAGGGAGCTCACCAAGAAGAACGTCTTGCACTTGGTCAGTTCAGGCCGTGAAGCATGGGAGCCCAACTTGTCTGGTCATTCTCGGCTTGCCATTGTATTCTAAAATAAGGGCCTGTCAGGTCATGCAGTGTCCCGCCCGCTGAAGTGTGCAGAAGTCTGGCTAGACGACTACGTGCAGCAGGAATAGAATTGAGAAGTTCAACATCCTCACAGACACGCTCCACACGCCTGCGTGACCCAAAGCTGATGGGAGGTGCAGTGGACATCTTCCTAGCCCACTTCAGCGGCTTGGCACCTTCAATTTCGCTGTCAGCTGTCACTGCCCTATGCGCACGTCACTTCTCGGTAGCTGGCCCCTGCAGGAACAGGTCTTCTCGGGTTGTGAGTATTTGTTAAGTACGTTCTGCGTACCCAGCTCTCTCTTAGCACCTGCATCAATTTGAAACATCAGCCTAGTTGTACGTAGTCACCTGCTCTCTCGCTGCCCAGGACTAGACGTTCAGGAGTGGAGAAATCTAGACTGGTACAACAGCTCCGTGAAGTATAGCGTATCGCCCCTTGGCTGGATTCCTTGCTGGAGAGCCTGAGCGGGTTCTGCCATCGTCGTCTGGCACTACTTGCAAAAAATTGAAGAGTGCAGCGCGTAAGCTGCTTCCTAACATGTACTTCAGGTGGCTTTTTGCTTATAGCAGGGCGACATGAGCTACACATGTTTGCGTTTAAACCTTGAGTTGGATCATGGCTTGTACCTTCTTGAGCCGAGTTGTAAGAAGCAACCCAGCTTGCTCATGGATTCTGCAAGTAAGTGACTTGACAGGTGTCATCAAAGCATGTCAGAACTTCATCGCAGTATCGTCATCTGATACCTACTCTAACAGCCACACCAAGTCTTGGTTACTTAGAGATGCTGCTGGCGGGCGCATAAGTCGCGACATTTGGAACAAAGCTGCCTTGAACTTTGCCTGACACAAAAGATGCATGCTTTGACGGTCTTGAAACTCAAGAAGCCTGGGTTTTCTTTGAGTACCGTATCAGAAAAGGTATAAAGCGCCGAAGCCGACCTACGTCTTGAATGAGCTGGTGAACCAGCAGACATTCAGTGCCTCAACTGCCTAGACTTCGGCTTCTGTCAGCAGCAGCAGCAGCAGCAGCAGCAGCAGCTTCAGCTTGAAGATCGGGATTTTAGTGCCATACCCTGAGCAAAGACTCAAGCTGTTGCTCCGGGAGAGTATCGAATACTGGAATTCAACAAGAGTGTCCGCAACTAAGGATATTGAAGTACTGTAACCGTGTAAAGTTGGATCTAGATTCGATATGATTCAATCGACAGCGGATGCATTTGCCTTCAAGTTGAAGGCATGAGTCCAGTGCCTGCAGTGTGAACAGAACAGATCAGGCTCGCAAGACTTGTAGTTTTGCTTCGTTTCGTGGTGTTTCCTACCTGAATCGCTTGGAACCGGTAGTTCTGCCAATAGTTCAACTATGGAAACGGATCCCCCTGCGCAGGGTTGTGGGGCAGCCAAGTAGGCGGAACCTATCCTACAGCTTAAGTCAACCCCAACACTGGGGACTGGCATGTTAGCAGAATCTAAAAAAGATTGATTTCTGCTCATACTCAGGACTGACAGGCTACCGATGGTTCTGGGTTGCGGATGACAACATCGATTTCACCCATGTGGACCTCATCAGTGGCATGCCTGCACAGTTGGCCCTGAATCTTGGAAGGAAATGCCCCATCTGCAACTTACCAGATGAGACTTCTTGTCATTCTTGTCATTAGACTGTCGGAGGATGTGTCAGGATGTCATGACTCCGTAATGAGGCGACACCTAGGACTTACTACTCAGTGACTCATCCAGACTAACTCTTGCACTCAACCTCATCCTCCTCAACCCTAAACATTTGATTCTGAATCTTGGATGCCTTAGACTACGTGAGCCTGGCTGGGGAATCCGGTGCAAACATCGTTCAGCCAGCAGCGGGGACCTCAGCATGCGTCAAGGAATCAGCATTGCGGCTAAGCGCACGGTAGAAGCCCTTTCTCAACAGGGGCTGCCTGAAAGAAAACAAGTCTTTCAAGCGGCCATTGTGGAATACATGGTCAGTATTCTCAGATTTGGATTCGAAGTTGATGCTGGAATCAGCAGACAGCGACTGCATACCAGTTTCCACCAGATCCCCCTTGCTTGTACGTCCTGTAAACGCTCGTTCTAGAAACAGGGGGCAACAGGAGGCAACCAGCATGAACCCGAGAGGTCGAATTCGATTCCGAAGGGATCCCATCCCACGAGGCACGGGATAGGTGAAGAGCTGTGCAGTCACGAAGGCCTACTGGCCAGCTGGTGTTTCTGTACGGAGCGCCAGTCACCATGGCTTCTAGTAATCATGAAAGCTTGCAATTCCACTTGACAGATCGTGCTGGCCTACACCGATGCAGTAGAACTGCCAAACCACAAGTGGAGCTCCTTGGCTGAAATCATGTGTCAACATGCATGGGGTCTCCGGCTTCCCAGACCCACTGACCCACCTCCTGCCCCAGAAGGCCATGAGGTTTAGAGTTTAGGGATCGCTCTGTGGGCGGCTGCCATGCTTCAGACTAGACCGCAGTGCCTCACAACGCAACCACCTCAGTAGTAATAATAATCATGAAAATAATGATAAGAGTAATACAGCGCAGGAAGCGTAATCATGATTTTGTTTCAGTAGAGCTTAGTTGCGTTCCTAGTGCATCCAGTTCATTTGACTTTGTCGATTTGCATAGCGTGCTTGTTTGATCTATACAGCTTTTCACGCATATTTTCAATTGGTGTCCATTGCTTTGTTCAATTTTGCTGCTTCCATAGCACTCCTACAGGTGCCCACATCGTTCCTGCTCTTTGTGTTCGCAGAACTTGATGATCCTGATTTCCTCCTGATCTGTGTTGCCTTCCAGATTGGGCACAACCTCTTGTATTGGCACCATTCCCTTCTGACCCCATGCAAACTCCAACCTGCGACCGAGGCCGTAGCCTTTACCGCTACACGGACTTCGTGGAGGCTCAACCCTGACACTGCTTTGATTTCCCAGAGGTTGGCCTGAGATTGTTCCCGCAGTGTTCCTGGAGTTGCTACATATTGGGGAGCTTCGGCTCAGAGCAATGTGTTACATTCTGCAGGTTAAAGTTCAACGTCGTGTTAGCTTGGCCTGCTTTGCGTACTAGTAATAGTGCGTATGCATGGACGTCCTCAACCCTCTTTGCCCTTCAACAGCTGTAAACTGTGCAACTTGAAGTAAGTCTTGGATTCCCGAACCTGCCATCCAGGTCATGAGCCCTATGTTCTCCGCGGAGGCGCTCCACGCTGCCTGGAAGCTGTACATGCCAGGCCCTGCATGGTTTTTGAAGCTTCGTAGATTCTATCCGGGAGAAAGGTCCCATTCTCGTGCAGTGCATGCGCCATTGAGCTCGGCAGAATCAGAAGTCATGCCTCACTTCTTCACATTCGGGCCTGTTCTTTTTATGCTTTGAGGTTACGATCCTCAGGCTCATGCCACCTTCCGTGTCATGTCTGAAGCCCAACGCTGATCCCGATTGTCTTGCAGACTTTACCAGCAATTGGACTGGCGTGAAACAATCCACACTAAACTTGCACGCGCTGGAGACATCAGTTTTTAGAGTAGAGAGGAGTGCTCACCAGACAAAACCAAGCTTGCCATCGTGATGTGCTTTGATTGTGGGGCTTCTGCTTGGGGCATAGCACTCCTTTACTGCGCATGAAGCTTTACTAGTCTCCCGGGACAAAGCTTCCTGGAGGCCTTCGCAGTGATTTCGGCATGGACCAGGTTTGGTGCCGCTACGCTGCTGGGAAGCATGATGATATCCTAGAAGGGCAAATGTATGTATGGACAATTGACTGACAATCATGATGGGACTGAGCGAGAGGCTCGAGACTTGCAACTGTTTTAGAATCATGTCTCATAGAGCTACACCTGTGCGCATGTGCTGCAGCGATTGTGGCCCACAATATCTCAAGGGGTGTGTTTAGTTTGGAAAGGTGCGTTAGGTTGCAATTAGGACGAGGTGAGCGCGAAATGGCAGTAGCTGCATGGCTGAGGTAGCAACCCAGCTCGCCAGCTCTGGCCTCAGAGGAATAAACTTGGACCTCTTAGTTCCTTTGCACCAAGTATGCCTGGTAGCAAGCTGAATGCATCTCAATAGTGGGAAGCCCAGGTGAACTTACAGGCCAATTTAAATGCTTATGTAGCCTGCAGACATCAAGTTGGGTGTCCCTCCTTGGCAGTCGTAGAGGAAATTAGCCTGCAGGTCCGGCGAGCAAGAGTTGCGCAATCATCGATGCCGAACACATGCTGCCTGGCAGATTGATCGTACAGACGGGGATTGCGCGGTCAGTCAAGTGACCTATGTTGTTTTCTGCAGGAGCTGCAAGAGCATGCTGAAATACGAGGCCGTTTTGAGGTCCAGGTGCACTTAGCATTCAAACGTGAAGGTTCAAGATGCCGCACATCCAGAGTTACAACTTCCAGGAGAAGTCACACTGGGAAGCTGGTTTCAGCTGGCTCGGAGTCAGTAGGGGCAGATCAGGGCTACAATCGTTGCCCCCTTGCCCTGGAGGGGTTGAAGCGCTGGGGCTGTTAGGGATCGGATCTTTCGAGACCTCAGGGAGGGCATTAGCCACAAAGCAAGCATGTCCGCAGAGTTGGGTAGCTGCTCCCGCATAATCAAGTGGATGGCATCCCTGCGTGCGACAGCCAAGCCAACTATCCGAACAGACCAAGCGCTTAAAATTTGAAGCTTCCCTCTGTCAAACCATAACTCGCACCCGCTCTCGAGTCAAACAACTACGACTACCTTCAATTGGAATGCTCACCGCTGTCAGCTGTTTGGCTTCAGAAGTAGGCGATCTGGTCGTATTTATGATGACGTGGGTGGCAGATCGCCTCGCACCCTGCTGCAAGTCTTTCTGGTCTCTTGCGCAATCAATCGCCATTGGCATCGCCATTGGCATCGCCTGGTGGACCATTGAGGTCAGCATCAGGGAGCTGGTAAGATCATCTGGCAGTCCCATGCTTACCGGCATCCACAACTGTCTTGGCGTCGTATTCTGGATGCTATACTCGTTATGCTTCTGGATTCTTTGCATTTGCTGTACCTGCAGGGTTTGTTGCAAAAGCAATTTCCATGCCTTCATGTATGGTCTACTCGATGAATCCGTCGGTGAAGCTCTAAGAAGAGAGGCGAGAGACGTGACCCTTGGGCAAGACTTGATCAGTGGCCAGGAAGTACAGATGGGTAGCGAACCCCAGCCAGAAGCTAGCAGTGGTGCCCCAGAGCCATGAGTTTTGTAAAGTTGGAGGAGCAGCCATTGCTAATTTTTGTGTTGTCATATGTCCTAGCTGCTCAATGGACAGCTTGGCCACCGGTTCTCCATTTAAAACGGATTCATTTGCTTCGCCAAAGTGCGCCCTGCCAATTTAATTCCAGGGTGGCCAGAAGTTCTGTGAATCTAGCCGGTGCCTGAATGGGTGGACGAGCACCAGGTCTCTGGCATTTAGAATGCTCATTTTCAAGCATCCTTATTGTCAGTTTTGAGCATCTTTATGGCATTTTTCAAGCATCCTGATGTTCAATTACCAGCATTTCTATAGGCAAGCTTGGGCATCCATAGAACAGATTGTAATAGCAAAGATGGCGGAGAGCAAGAGACCTGAAGCAGACGCCCTCAATAATGGAAATTCAGCTGTCATTGTGCAAGAGATCTGAAGCAGACGGATTCAGAAAAACCAGATGTCCACGTCCGCATGTGTGTGAGTGTGCAATCTTGCGGCTGTGCATGCCCCCATCTCACCTTCAGCATCCCTCAACATATCATGATGAGTACATATGGTTAAGTCACATATCTGACATGTGGGTATGGGTCAGTATTCATCATCCCAATTGTAGATCAGCTATGTTAAGATCTACCATCCCGATAGATGAACATCAAGGGCTGCCAGGGTTCACGCTGTAAAGCTCAAAGCAATGACAATCAATGACATGCATGCCCTCGGTGACATGCCCAGCCGGCTGTCTCGCAGGACGCTCTCGCAGTCGAGGATTTGCAGATGAGAAGAAATGCAAAGTACCTGCAGAGGCCAGGAGGCTTCCCTTGTTCAAACAACAGCTTCATGGCATTGATAAAGCAAAGGCAAGCCCGTTGTTAGAATCTCAACGCTGTTGTGAGTCAAGCTTAAAGGGCCTGAGTCAAGTGTCTGCATATAGGAGTCTGGACCGGGACGGCACCATAAAAACGGGCGTAGCGCAACTGCGCGGGACCAAGTTTGAGCTGTGAGTGCTGCTGCTTCTGAATTCTGCCTGATCGCAGAGCTTGGGTAAGAGAAAAAAGCCACCAGTCAACACAAGTCACCATGTGTGACTCGCCAGATTTGAGCCGCTTTGAATCTTGCATTCGCATGACCGTAAACGTGGCACTCCCTGATCTTCTGTTTTGGATTAATGCCAAAGCCGCATCATTCTTTTAAAGTACTAAGAATAGTAATACAATTTTATTAGTACTTGTAAGAATGCTAATCTGATGCAAAGCTTAACTTGGCTGCCGAACGGAATCCAGCCTTGGACAGCCTGAAAGGTGTCGCCCTGCTGGTGACGACCCCAGCCTTGTGCAGATCAGCCCGGTGCTTAGAGGGGCTAAG